GCTGAAGTCAGTCTATGTCATGGGTGCCCTGTGACAGAAGAGGGCTGTGGACAGGGCTGTGATTGACAGAACTGTGCAAGTGCCTCTTCAGCCTTTGGCAGAACTTCTGAGTTTCTTGGAGAGGCATCTGTGTTTCAAGGAATTTATCCAAGCAAACATGAAGTTTTGGGAAGAGGGAAAAGCATACCTGACACGGGTTCAGAGTAGCAAGTAGAGTTTTGAGGAGAGACATCCTGCTTTAGGAAAAGTTTACTGGTTTCTGTCTGAGCAGGATTTACGAAAAGCAGCTTGAGACCCTAAAAAATTATTGTTGATTTCTAAAAGCAACAAACCAAAAAATACCCACTTCAAAAAATTATCGTCTGCTTTAAGATGAACTTCAAATCAGAAATTTTTTTCTACAGAGTGTTCTTTATAGAAAGCAAGCAATGTGAATGTGTATGTACATAATACATACAAACGTATTATGCCTGGACTGGCAGTATTGTCCATCCAATGTTCATACATAATTATCCTCTCTTTTCCCTAGTCTAGGAATCTTACTGTTTATCCAGTAATTTTCACAGCATGATGAGACCTTCTTTGTAGGAAAACACATTTAGTTATTTTGTTTAGTTTAGAGTATTTTAAAGGTGAAGAAATAGTTTTAAATACAGCTTCTAAGAAACACAATTAGATTTGCAGTCGCCACTGATCTTACAAAACAAAACTTTATAGAGATGCCAGCTGGGAACTATATACAAAGACTATTCTAAAAGTATGAGAAGTACAGATTTATATGAACTTACATGTGTTATATTTTGTTTAAAAATATATTTCACACTTTTTTATTATAAGCAGAACTCAAAATGAGAACACACACAATTTGGAGGCACTTGAAACATCTGTGCACCAAGTTACAATTAATATTAACAATCCTCAAAAGTCTACCAGCGAAAGCACTGTATCTAACTGAAGAATTAAGTTATTATAGCTACCCACTTGTGCTCTTTAACTGGAAGAAATACAGAAAATTAATTGTCTAAACATGTGTAAGTCTCTTGTTTGATATCTGGCAGCAAAAGGGAAAAAAGCTTACAAAACTGAAGCACAAGTGATACATCATAAGAACTCTTTACAAGAAGCTCACAACACAGTTTAATATCTACACAATCGCTTTAATAAATGGAATTTCCACTGATTATTTACAGATTTTAATGCTGTTATCATCTCATCCAGTCTTTCTAAGAGACTCTGCTTATGTGAATAAGGGTTAGTTGGCAAAGTTAATTATGGAAAAAGAAAAATTATTGTTAAACTTCGGATGAAAATGGCATCTAGGGAGTATCTGTTTGCTGCCTTCTACTTGCAGATGCTATGGCCGTTTTGATTAGGACCTTGAGTATTCCCAAAAGGTCTTTTCTGGAGGTTGCTGTACGTGATAGATGCAAACTAGCTTTGGAAATGTAACACTGGGTCCCAGAGGACGGCTAACTGCAGCAGCATAAAATAATTTGGATTTCCAAAGAAAGTGAAATAAGTGGACAAAATAAGGTGTGCAGTTCAACACAATGTTCCCATATCACATAGATTATCAGTTCTATTCCACATGGGAAACTGTTGTTCTCTTAAACAGTCACGCTCCCCTTAGAGATAGTTATTAAGATGTCAGGTGCTTAGGAGTTGCTATTGATTTCAACAGGAAATAGGAGTGAACTGGAGTTTTGGGGGTGAGAGAGCTACTCCTATCCAGTTGTTGCCCAGCTGTATTTTAGAGTCGTTTCAATGAGCTTAATCAGAAAGTCAAGGTATTAACTTAATTCCACATCAAAAGAGGCAGTACAGTTGTGGGTTGCTGTGATCTTGCAGCAAGGCACGGAGCTACATTTTCCAAAGTTGCAACCTTGGAACACTTCAATGATGAAGCCAAAAATCCTTGCCTATTTTGGCTCCACTTCAGGTATACCTACAGACTTTCCTGTTGTGATGGAATGGACTGAAGTGACCTGTGTAAAGCAGTACAGCTGAGAAGGAGTGCAGGGGTATATAAGGGTCTCACTGTACTGTATACGTGTAATCACTGCAAGTACCCGCTGCAGGAACTGCCTGGCCTCTCAACAGGTGCTTTATCTGATTAAGGACACAATCAGGACTACAACTGATTAGTAAAGGCTTCCTGAAATTGTTGAAAGAAAATTAGTTATCACCATTCATACATGTGCCATAGTGACATGAATGTGCTCTTTGGAAAGTGTTCTTATGTGGCTGTGGAGAGGGCACTAGTCAAGCCTCTCAGCTGTGTGCAATTGGGAGAGGCATGTCTAGACTTTGTGAAAAGCATTTTCTATAAGTAGTTAGAAGAATTAGAATTATATTTTCTGTCAAAAAAATTAGGTGATTAATCTGTATTTTAGAAGGGCAATCTATTTAAACCTGGTGTAATTGAAATAGGATTTTTCATTATTTTTTTGAATGTGTTTGAAAAATCATGTTTGCAAAGTATGTTCTGGTCCCAGCAACTCTGATGTAGTCAGAAAATTGGTGAAAAGCTCTTCAGATGGTCGTTCAATTTATACACTAAAAGACAGACCCTGTTAAATACATCAGTCTTGGTGGATGTGTGTGTTTAACCTGCAAAGGGTAACATTGTCTGCCACTCATGTGAAGTGCAAATGATTCCTTTTCTCATTCCAGAGCTATACATGTACTAAAGACTGCTATCCTCTTGTCAGACTGCTTTTACTTCAGGTTACACATATACGACTCTTTCTAATCTTTCCTCGTAAGACATACCTTCCCATACTGCAGTTACCATCACTGCTTCTCTAGGCTCTGCTTAGCGGCCCACATCGTTAGGGTAAGTCATGGAAGGTCTTGTCCAAAACGGAGAGAAGTCCTTCAGCTGAAACAATGCCAGTGTTAAGTGAAGTGGAAGGATTAAATCGTGCACTGCTTAGACCATCTTCTTTCCCATACCCTCCAGTTTGCGGGAACTCTGTGGGAGAGGAATTCTCTGGACTCACACACAGCAAACAGTCAGGAATCTGGAATTAGTTAATGTCCCTTTGAAATTAAAAAGGAATTGTGTAAAACTGCCTTGCTATAACTTAGCGTCCTTTTCAGTGGATTACTTGATGTGAAGTGAGTGCCATCTGGAGGTTTGGAAACATGGAGCTCTGAATGCTTTCATGCTGAAGAATAAAATCCCCATGCTTTATAAATTAAATGTTTGAGCTTGAGCCTGACAGATACTAGACATCTGCCACTCAGTATAGACTTTGTGACCCATAGCAAGACTTGGGGCTGCTCAATATGTCTCAGAGTAAGGCATGCAAGTGTAATGACTGTCAATATTATGCAATCACCAATAAATATGTAACCTCTGAATGGCCTGTGCAGTTTTTGGAAGAAGCTCTGGACAACACAGGGACAAGGAAAGGCTTTGTCTGCTCTCTCCTCTCCCTCTTTCAGATGTTTGAAGACAAACCAGTTCCTGGTGCAGTTTTCTGTTCACAGGAGAGAGCAGAAAGCATTTTAGCTGAACAAGAAGGTGTCTTTTTTTTTAAAGAGTAGTTTCCCATTTGGTGTGTCTGAACACAATTGTCTATCGCACAATTCATGTCTGCAGAGTGGAACCAGTCCTCCTCACTTGGGCTGATTGGGTGATGTGGTCTTCCTTCTTTGGGTAGCTTAGCTGTCATCTTGAAATCTTTAATCCTTCAGTCTGGCTGTGTAGAGGAAACCAGGAGAAGAACTACTTGACGGTGTGACTTCAGTGAGGGGGATTTGGCTCTTCTTTCTACAGTGTCTTTTTTTTTTCCCTAGAGACCACTTGGATGTTAATAGTGATCACACTGTTCCATACCACCTCTTGTGCTTTTGAACTGCCTTCTGCTGCTGAAGTGTAATTGTAAAAACAAATAACCTTAATTGCAAAACATACATATACACATCTCCACCTCACTCTGGTGAGAGACTGCAGCCTGTCGTATCAAGGCAATGCTAATGGCTTCTGTGTTGATCTCTACCTAGAACTGAGCATGATCCTACAGAAGCTACATACAGTGCAAAAGGCAGATATTGTATGTACACTCTCTACGCTCTGCTGATTACTGCTTTTCCCCTACAGAACAACAGGTCATAAACAAAGTTTGCACCTAGGTAATGAAGATGCACTGATGAACAGGCTTTAGGTATTGTGTCGATTTAGCTTGATGATGGTTTCCTTCGGCAACCACAGATTTTAGGAGCTATGAACCTGTTAAATTCAAAGTTGACGATCCTGAGAGTGTAAGACAGGTTGCTGAGCCAACACGCCTTCAGAGCAAAATGTGAAAGCTTGCTTCCTTGTCAGTGAGTTTCCATCAGCTAAACTGGAAAAAAAGAGTAAGAGAAGGGAATTTGGGAGCAGCAAATCTAAAGAAACAAAAATGAAAACTAGTGTGAAAAAAATTTGGTCTCCTTCCCTCAGCAGGGAGGGGTGAAAAAGCACAGAACATATCTCACGTGCCTTAAATGTTATTCTTTAGAGCAAGCTTAAACATGCAGATGACAAGGCTGATCCTTGGCTAACAACATGAAATGCAACAGGCCGCTCCATTTTATTGCACTGACTTTCAAAATTGAAAGTGTGTTGTTTATGTTTATGTTGGGACTCATCTGATCAGGTCTCCATTAATTGTTTATTTTCAGGAGATAAAAATTCAGGAAGAAATTGCCTTTTGGCTGCAATCTTGTTCTTTCTGATATTAGTGGCAACCTTACTGTAGGCTTGCATGGGAAGATGGATGAGATCTGTAGTGCTAACTCTCTGTATGTGGCCCAATCACCCCACATATGAAGAGAATTGTCTCCTACAGCCTTCTTGGACAACATCCATCTTTGCTCTTGAATGAAAATCCATGCTAGGCAGTAGTATTGGTTTCTCTGAGAAAAAGACTGAGGAATTTTTTATATGCTGTGGAGTCTGTTGGCTTGAGCCATTCAACTTGCTTTGTTACTGTTATATTTTTACTGAAGCACTAGGAGAGCTGGAGCTCACCCTCAAGTTTCCTCTTCCGTGCTCCACTGCTGAAGAAGTAATCCATGTTTACCAGAGCCCTGCCAAGTTCAGTATTCATTTGACTGCCAATAGTCTGGTTGGTTGAGTTGGGAACTTTGCTTGAGAACACAGGCATATAGTTTGGCAGTGGCTTCTGCTCCTTTTTCTTACCCTGGATAAAACAAAGACCATTAATAAATTTTCAGAATTACATCCATTGCTTGCTACAAAAATACAAGTTACTGAGATTTGTAATATCAGCACTTTTGCTTTTGAAATTAGAATTTGAATGTACTTAAAAATGTCATACTGAATGTACGTGAAAGTGTTGAATAAATAAAGTAAAATGATTGTGTTTTCCTGTTGTCTTACATGGGAATAGGATAACACATCGAAATGAATAATTTTCAAATGTGTTGCATAAAATGTCAGCTGGGAGAAAAGTCAGTGTGCTCTAGAATGGCTGTGATGTGGGAGGTTTTTTGTTTTGTTTTAAGTAAGTGACTTGGATTTCAGCGTGATGACGTTATCTTACAAATGTTCTTCTGGGAAGTTGGTTCTTCTAACACTTGCCTTCTATGGAGTTGTTAATATCAAAGCAGATTGAATGCATGTGCTGTATTTCTTTGTGGCATAGGTAGCAGATGAAAGGCACTACAGTTCGCTTATTTTTCCTAAAGATTTTAGTCTTAAAGCATTTGCTGATTATGCCTAAGTATGCTTCAATTTGAAATATTAGCCTAGCTCAAATTGATGAAAACTACAAAGAGCCTGGATTACAGTTGAATGTTTGTGCAAAACTTACCGTTTGGTCATAGTAGTCCTGTAGGAAACTCCAGTTCTGGTACCTTGGAATAGAAGTTAAAAATGCAGTGTAAAATTTTCTGTCTTTGAATAAAATAATTAATGTTGGTTGTATTTGAATGCCTATTCAACTGCTCAATTTGACACTTACAGCCCAGCTCTTAGACCTGCAAACTCTTTGTGCTGAAACCTGTCTTTTCTGTGGTGAAGCCCCAGGTTTTCTTTATTCCCATATAGAGCCCATACTGCATGAGGAGTGGGGGTTTTTTTGCTAAAGGAAGATGAGAATAGCATGTCCACAATGCATTCCTTGTCAAAATGCAGATACATTAGCAAAGTCCTGAGTTGCCCTAGCAAACTTTTGTCGCTTGTCCCATGCCTTGAGCAAGACACAACTGCTTATTTTTTAAATGACTGATACTCTGCTGGCAGGAATCCCTGGTAGGAATTCCCAGAGCTGTGTTTGCTGCTGGCAAACACCCACGGAAGTATTTTGTGCAGATAGGCAGCTGTGCTAGGAGCAAATTGAATCAGCAGACCTGAGTTTTGCTCTTCAGCTCTGGTCTGGACCTGGTGTGGGACTACAGGGCAAGTCCTTTGATTTTCTGTCCTTTGCTTTCCCTGGCCTGAAATAGAGCAAACAAAAGTTCACCTGCTGTTGTAAAAGTACTGTGAGGTCAAGAGAGAAAGCAGTTATCTACAGCTGTATTTTCAGCAGGGCTCAAGGGACAGCCGGGTTGACTCTCTGAGCTGATGACCTGTGTGTGTACGGTGCTGCATGAGCTCATCAATCGAGTGCTGAAGCTGCGCATCCTTCCGAGTTGAGCTCGTCTGTACGGCACCGCCATGTACCACGTGGAGCGAGGACCATTGGATTTCTGTGCTGCTCTCCTCTGTCCCGTGCAGATATGCCCTAAGTGCAAATAAAAGCTAATTTATGATTGTTGTGTTTGTCACTATATGTCTTGGTATACCAGCACAGCATAGAGGTCCTAAAATTTTTTATCTTGCTATGCCAGCCACTATTTGAACATATCAGATTTGGGTGTTACTGGATGGTGATAATTACTGAGAAATGCTTGGGTGTCAGATATTGACCTAGATCCACTTCAAGTCAGACCACCAACACGTAGCAGCCTTTCCCCATCATTGCTTTTGGGATGGGGATGTGGAGCTGCAGGAGAGTTCTCTGCAGGCTGTAGCATATGTCGTCTGTGGAATCCAGCATTAGGCATCAGTGCTTCACGTGTCTGTGCTACGCTTTTACAAGAGTTTCTGATAGCTAAGACTGGAGAGCAGGACATGCATCAGGTGTATGATGTGTTATCTTACCCATGAAAGTGAATTTGCATTAATATCCATGACTGTGAACCCTGGGGGGCAGGCACAGCCAGAGAGTCCCTCCTGCTGTCTTAGCTGGGGAGTGGGCATGGAAGATGCTGGGCCTGTTTGGGAAGAGTCTGAGCACACAACTGGGAGAGAGTAATATTGCCACCATGGCCCTGGCTTTGCATGAGTCAGAGTCCTGCCATCAGCCTTTCCCTCAGGTAAAAGGAGCCAGATAAGAGTGTAAATGTGTCTCTGGGGAAGCCAGAGCTGTGATCTGTATCTCCTCCAGAAGGCTGAAGAAGACAAGGGGTTTTCAGATGGTTTCTTTTCCCATTTTAAAAAAATCCTGAGAGTGATGTTCTTTTTCCTCCCTTTCCTTTAGCTGAAGGTGGAACTGGATCTGATTTTACTGACCAAGGATATGCTTCCAATAGGCATGCTTATGCTGTGTGCTGAAGTCTGAACATAAACACTTAAGATAAGTGTTGAGTGTCAGGAGACAGAGAGGAACTTAATTTCGAGTTCCTTCAGGTCACTGGTATATACACAGTCAAAGCTTAGGTTGTATGTGTGCAGTTCAGTCTGCTGAAACGCTAAGAGTGGGGCATGTTCAGTAGATTTACAAATTGGGAATACAAAATCATATTTTGGCAGAACACTCTGTTCAGCTTCCATTTCAGCCATTTCCAAGAATATGAGAAGAGGTGATAATATCTATGTGTCTTCAATAAATTATGAAGGTTGGCACATTTATATCTTCATTGTGGAAATCTTTATAAAGCAAAAAGATACTTAGCATGCAGTTCTTTGCATCTCTTTTCAACTGAAGTTCAGCATGCCAGGAGATATTAGCATAGATTTTGTCAGTGAAGGAAAACTATAGTAAGAAAGGTATTAGGGTCTGATCCAAAGTCCCTGCAGAAGAAAATTTCCTTTGATAGCGTAGGCTTTGGATCAACCCCTAAGACTGTCAGGGAGCATTAGTGCCATTGTCAAGATGAGTAGAAGAGGCATGAACTGGAACAAGTGACTTACCAGATTTTGCATCCTCTCTGTTCAGCCTCCACAGACTCTCTCCAGACCTTATCCTGTTGAACTTGGTCCTGCCGCAGCGCTGCCTGCTCGTCTGCCCAGGCCTGGGTAGCCGGTTGTGCAGCCACAAGTCTTCGGGGTTGGATGCTGCCGAGAGACCCAGACGGACCTGAGGCAGGTTGCCCCAGGGGTGTGGTTGCTGGTTGCCGAGACCTAACCAAGGTATTTCTCCTGAATCCAGAACCCTTTCCCAACTTGTCCATTTTGAGACTTACTGTATCCTCAATATTGTTAGGTATATTGTGACTATTAGGAAAGTTAAACCTGCTATTGTTTGCACTTTCAAAGCTCCTTCTCTCCTAACATTTTCTTTTAGCTGCTGATTTCGAGTGCTTTCAGAAAACGAACGTGCACAGCAGCACTGACAGGCAGCACTCAGTGCTGTTTTACCTCCCTCTTAGTTAATGCTCGTTTCCTACTGCTTTATGTTGCTTCGTTGCTTGAACGCTGAGGGAGTTTTCATGGTAACAGCAATTTTGTAAGAGACGACTGTTACTGAAAGCCATCGGATCTCCGGCTGTAACCAGCAAACTCTCAGCTTACGAGGTGATTACTGCTGCCTGCAGCTGAGACCACCCTCTATTCAAAATCCTCAGAACAATAAAATCTGGTTTAGTAGCAAAGGGTGCCGTGGAGATTGCTGCTGAGGATGTCAGGAGGACTTTTGTTGTGATTATGTAGCAGAAGCAAAATCTCCTGAAAGCTGCTTGTTTCCCTGGTGTGTTTACTGTCTCTATTGGAAACAAGTCTGACTTGTGAATATTCACCAGAAAGGGAGCAGAGACCTAGTGGAACAGCTGCTGGGGCCTTGAACTCTATTTGGGGCAGAGTTTGTTTGTTTGAAATAAGGTACTTCAATGCTGTGCTCCTTATTTTCAGATTTTAAAAAAAGAGCAGCCAGAGATCATCAAAAGTCCCTTTTAAGCACTTAGAGATTTTTGCAGAAGGTATTAAGCAACTATGAGAAGTAGTTTTTAAGTAACTCGAAAAGGTTATTATTATACAAAGTGAGAATTTTCAAAACAGTGTCCAAAATGTCGGTGTTTGTCTTTACAGTCGGCTTGTTGGGCTTTTGTGGTATGAAATCGCTTCCTCAAGTATTTGTGACCTTGCAGGAAAATGGAGCATTTTAAGTATTAATTTCCTCTGAAATTCTTGACTGGCTTGTTTTTGAGTAGTGTGGATTAGCTCCAGATGAATTCTGGCTTCTTGCTTCATCCTCCTGGTAAATGCTAATGAACTTTGAATCTACTTTTCTAGGGTTTTTTTGGCAAACTTACTTGCTTGCAGTAGTGGGAAATACATGCTGAATTTGGCAAATAATTTCTTTTAAAATAGTTACGACTATACGACAAACCAAACACTTCATGTAGACATATTTGAGCAAGAAATACTTCTATATTTGGAAAAATTATTCTGACTTTGAAGACTGCAATAACATAACTTAAGAAGAGGTAAACTCCACCTCAAACCACAATGTTGGCTTTGAATTTGAATGAAATTTTAGTAGATTTCTTGTTTGTTTGCTTGTTTTTCTGGGATAATTGAAACCTAAACAGTGTTTTTCATCTCTTTCAGGCAAAAAGCAAAAAAAGTCATGTATCCACACAGCATTATCATGAACTGAAGAAAAGAACTGTTTGCCAGCCTAGCCTGATAGTTGTCTCTGTTCCTCTTGTGGAATCTGCTTATTCTGCTGCATTCGTTCCATGGTCCTCTCCAAGTTGGAGCGTATGCATCTGGTTGGAGGATGGGGTTTTAGCAGCATCTAACTGCTTTAAAAGGAAGCTGAGGCACTTTTGGAAGACCCAACACATTAATCACTGAGCATGGGATTTTAGCTCCTGATCAGGTCAGGAAAGGATCCTGATGGGAAGTCTGTTCCTGTGTATGGAATGCTTTTTAATTCTTGTTTACAAAGTTCTTGTGTTATTTTAATTCTAATCCTTCCTTCAAGTCAATTTCTGCAAATTAATCATAATAATACACTAAAAATGGTTATTGAGCTGAGTATATAGCTTCTGAATGACTACTTGTAGCCATGGAATAAACTGGACAGAAAGATTACAAGCAGATGTTTCAAGTCTTATGTCATTAAGTGGTGCCTGCAAAGATGTAGGACTTGTAACTACCCTGGTTTTGATGCAGGTGGGGGGCAATGAAGTGCCCCTCAGGACATTTTACTGAAAGTGAACTCATAGATTAAAGCCATATCTGTTGGTCTGAGACCCCGCAACCTCAGAAAAGAAGGAAGTCTTAACTGTTTAGGACTTGTTTAGGCTTTAAACAAAAGGACGCTGTGAGTCTACATACAGGTATTGGACTCTTCATAGTGTTGAAGCCATTTCTCTGGAAATAGTAGATGGAAATGGGGTCATGGCTGTTTAAATAACCTGGGTTTTTAAAAATGGTGTAATAATATAACTTTACAATGTAGCTGCTGTTGAAAAAATTGATCACTAAAAGCTGATATTTTGAAAACTATCCCATTTTCTGTTGGGACCAGAAGTCATTAAGGGAATGATTATTCACCATTGAAGCACATCAGGGCGAGTGCAGGGATGACATTCCTCGGCGTTACTAGATTCCTTGCTGGATATACTAGTAGCCCATTTAGGCCATTTACTACATTAACAGCTCAGCAGAACTGCTGCAGGTACTGAGCTGTTTCCCCTCATATTACTGTCTTCCAGTTTAGCATTTTATTTGTTTGTTATAACAACTCGGGCCATTTAAGCAGGGACCTCATTTGAATTAGTACAACTCATTTACTGTGTACTTCTTTTCATCCTGTAGTAGAATGAGTTGATGTTTATTGTGGCTTCATACCGTATGTATCTATGTGAATCGATCACATCATCTTTATTTTTTCTGGTTGGGGACATGAAATTGAAAAAAGTTATGAGTGTCACTGTAGGAGATGCTGCTTTTGCTTAGGAGTTTGTTTTGGGATTAGTTTATCTGTCAAGCAGTGTTGGTGCCCATCATTGTGAGGAAGAACTTCGCTGAGGTTAGTCTTTTGTTGTTGCCAGACGAGTGATGTTATGCACTACAAATTCATCTGTGAAAAATATGTGAGTTATTTCCCCTGTCAAAGGAAAAGATGTCTGGAGAAGCTTTTTTATGGAAGTTCAGGTGTTTAGACAAAACATTTTTGTTTGACCACAAGAGGGTATTGCAGTATCAGTTATGCAAGACTTGAGCTAATGTTTGCCTTTATATGCACTGCCTTATTTTAAAAATACACATTTCTTGAAATTGATCACTTACATTAGGCAGTAGTTAAGAAAATCAGGTTTTGTATGTCAGTATTTGTTGTCCTTGTCCAGAGGCAATTTCTGAGCTGATTTTTCTAAAATTTGTTTCATTTTTTATAGTAACAAGTTTCTTGAAGATCAAGAAGTTCTCATAGATTTCACTGGAAGACAAGGACTTCAGAGGCTTATTCTGAAACACTGAAAAACTTAATGGAAATTGCTTGGTTAAATGCAAGAATACGTCAGTTACGGAAGGGAAATAATAACAGGAGATGAATGTGTTGCTGCTTTGGTTGGAAGTGCTTGTTGGTCCAGCATGGGCGCTGTCAAAGTGAGCGAGACTTTGATCTGATTTTCCCATGGGGTCCTACTTGCAGGAATAAGGTCTGAAATTTTTTTAGCCCATTTGTGTTTTCCAGATTTCTCCTTTACATCCAGGCCTTCTACAGTATACATCCAATGTTGCTTTGCACTTTTTTCCTAAGTCAGTACCGTGTTGGGATACTTTCCTACAAAAGTTGTATGTCTTCTAAACTTTAAAGACTGTGTTCTCAAATGTTCATGCCGTGTTTTGTACCGTTCGGGCCATGGAAGAGGGAGCTGGAAGGATTTCTGGATTCTCGCACTCTTAGATCTGTTTCTGAATTTAAGAAAAGATGTGTGGTATGCCTGCCTGTCTCTCAGCAAGCCCACCTGTAAAAGAAAAAGGATTACAGCCAACCACATTATCTGTGAAGAACAGATTTCTGAGGTGTGTGATAGGGATTTGATGGATAGCAAAGCAATTTCCATCTAAGAAAGTTTGTGTTTGTAAGATACTGCAGAGATTCAGGAAACACGCGTTTAAAAACACAGGTGCAGTGTATATGTCATGTGCGAATAAGAGGCAGGAACAAAATCATCAGCTGGAGGAGAGGGCAGCTCTCTGGAGACCAGCTTTTCAGAGCAGATCACCATTCAGAAGATCTCTGTCACTTCACGAATGGGATGGAGACCCCCATGGAAATCTTTCAGTATGAGCAATGTTACCTGGCTCAAATAGTGACCTTTGCATTGTCATCATCATCTTCCTCAAAGGAGTAAAGATCAGTCAAGTCAGCCAAGGTTACAGGCTGGAAGATTGGTCATGTTGATGGTTAGCAGAGCAGGGTGTTAGTTGATCGGTCAGAGGACACTGAGCACCCAGCAGAGAAGTGACAGATGGCAGAGCATTACTGTGATGCTTTCTCACCGGCCCTGGGCATTAACCACCAAGGGCCCTAGAAAGCCTGGAGGTGACAGATCCTGCTGACAAGCTGTGTCTTGGTCTGGCAGGAGCAAAGTGCCTTGGGTTGCTGTATGCAGTCAAAGTGAAAACAAATCCTGCAAACTACCGATTCGGAGTAAAACTAATTTTAAATGATTATGTAGCTGCTTGATTAAAGGCCTCATGCATTAAGTTTTGCTGTAGCCTTCATAAAAAAATATAAACTTCTTTCTTGTCTTAATGGAGTTCTGCTGAGAGAGCCTGGCAAGTTGAGCATCTGTTGCGTCGGCAGCGTACAAATACCACTGAGGGAGTGTCTGCTTCCAGTGACACAGAGTCTGACACTTCAAAATAAAATCAAAGCTGTAACGCAGACTATAAGAAATCTGTTATGATTTTTTTGTCCTATTATAATATAAATTCTAGTGTTACAGATTATGTTAGTTACTGATATGCAGTTTGCTTTATTGGAAATTATTTATTTGAAAAAATATTGTTTACTTGAAAAAAATATTAAACAGCAGCTGTTCCATAGAATATGCAGGCCTGTTACATTGGAGTCTTCTACTTAAACCTGCCGCTTGAGCACGGTGATGGGATTTCAGGGAGGGAGCGCTGCAGGGCTGGTGTAGGGATGTTGGAAGTATCTGGTTTGAGGAGAAAGAATGATAAATGTAAGAAGTGTTCCTCACTGGCTGAG